TCTGGCCACGGTTCTCCATTAGGTTCTCTTGACAAGTAGTCAACGATACCCATATCCCTTCCGGGAATATGAGTAATTTTAAATTGGAAGGGCAATAATCGGTCAACCCACCTAGTCAAACGAGATTGATACGTTTTATTTGATCTATGTTCTCCCAAAGCTGATGTCAATGCCTTGTGGTCAGTTGCTATGACAAATTCTCTCCCTAGTAGATAATGTTTGAAACGATCTACCGCCCAAACTACTGCTAATAGCTCAAGTTCATTGGTAGAATATTTTTTTTCTTGAGCATTTAAATACCGGGAAGCGAATGCGATCGGTATCCAATCGCTCTGATGAGACCATTGTTCTAAAGTAGCTCCGAGCCCACTATGACTTGCATCGCATTTTACTCTAGATTGCTTTGCTGGATCGTAATAGTTTAACAAGGCTATATTAGCAACTGCCCTTTTTATGTCCTCAAAAATTACTGAGTGTTGATCGTTCCACTCAAATTTTTTAACTGGTAACCGGACATTTTTCATCTTCTTTTTTTCATTTTCTTCTTTCAGTAGTGGTCTAAGTTTTTCAGTTAAACTAGCCGCATTTGGGATAAATTTCGCTAAGTGGTTGATGCTACCCATGAACGATCTGAGTTGCTTTAATGATTTGGGGGGTTGAAGGTTTGCAATTGCCTCCGTTTTAGTAACTTTTGGAATTATACCCTGTATTGACAAATTATGACCTAACCAGTTCACTGCGGGCTGCAGGAATTCGCATTTCGAAATTTTTAATGCGAGATTTTCGTCGTCCAACTTTTGCAACACATTGTGTACTAATTTCTCGTGCTCTTTAGCTTCCCCCTTTGAAACAATTAGAATATCATCCAAGAAACAAAAGGTATTCTTTGCGTGGTTTAGTGTTCTATCCATCGCTTTCTGGAATTCGGCTGGCATATCTGCCAACCCGTAGAAACCTGTCAGAAATCTGTACGTACCCGTTGCATTACCCCCTATTATATTGAAATTGCATTGTTTTGCTGTTTCAGCAGTTAGTTTTATCTGGCTATAAGCATATTTCAGATCTAACACGGTGAAAAAGAGAGAGCCTTCTGATGCTGATGTGATGATCTGGCTAACCCCATCAATCAGTTCGTCCACATTAGGCATCTGGTATTTATTTTTGTACAACTGTCTATTAATGGGTTTGGCGTCCAAGGCTAATTTAATAGAATCGTCTTTTTTTACTGTGATAACAATTGGGGCAATAAAACAATCGCTTGTGCATTTGTCTAATTTCGCAATGTGTCCCTCTGTGAGCAGCTTGTCTAGTTCTGTTTGAACTTTATCCTGAATGTGTATAGGAATTCTCCTACCTTTCTCTTGAATAGGGCACAGAGGATATTTAAATTTTGTACTCACCATGTGATTTTTTGATTCCCCTTGTCTATCGAATAGATCTTTGAACTTCTTATAAAAGTAAATCTTCCAACTATCTGACTGTTCGCACAGTAACACATCAAACCTGGACCTTCGTGTTGGAGCCGATTTTTGCGTGGTTTGAATTCCTAGTTTACTCTGAAGATCTAAACCTAATATGCACCGCATACGTCTCTCTGTGACCAGTAACATCGCTCCCAACACTTCCCAACCTGCCGAACGTAGATTAGCTTTTAACGCTCCTAATATTAGAATAGGTCGTTTATTATAATCTACAAACTGCGCGGACAGGTTCAGCTTTTCTGCCGGAATAAATTTTGAATTCGAAGGTCCTTCCAGAATCTGTTTCGTTGTTGCCCATTTCAGGAGTGATACTGGACTGCCAGTATCTATAGTCATATTCAAAATATGACTATCAATCTTAACCAAAGCTTTAAGTGCTTTAATTTGATGCGATTTGGGATTTCTGCGAATTTCGATCTTTTCAATTTTACCCGACTTCTCCGTCAATGCTCTATTCTGACCTCTTTCGTTATTGTACGCATTTTCCGAAATCCTTTTTGTGATGTACTTTTCTATGTCCATGATGGAAGTGCACTCTTCCTCTACTGACATGATTTCAAAATCATCACATGAATCGAATGTTTGTATAAGATTGCACTCTTCCCCCGAGCTCGAATCTTCATTTGCAATTTCGTTAATTTGTTGAGACCTACACATTTTAGCGAAGTGATTAGGTTTGTTACAATTTTTACATGTTTTGCCCATTGCCGGACAATTTTTTAAATGATTCTCTACAAATGCTCTACCGCATCTCGTACATTGTTTTTGATCTCCTTTACCTTTTGGAGGTTTATTTTCGTACTGTTTTCTTCTGTTTTGATTTTGACGTCTAGGGTTATACCCTTTGTTTCCGATTGCCATAATTGGTTCTTGTTTAATCTTCATCTGTGGAGTTGTAAACAGTCCTGAGCTGTTTGTGTTTGAAGATTTTTGGAATGCTTGAGTTGTTTGTTTGCTATATTCAAACTTTAGTGCACGTTTTAACACTTCTTCTGGAGAGAATGTTTCGAAAGTCAATGTGTCTTGGAGGACAGCATTTTTCATTCTTGAGATGAATAAATCTCGTACCAATTCTTCTTCCAACGCTCCCAATTCAGCCTTTGCTGCTTGTGCAGTCAGTGCGGCATGAAAAGATTCCAACGTTTCATTTGATTCGTGGGATCGTGTGAACAGTTTGTATCTCTCATAGGTAATACATTTCGTTTTCTCAAATGAGAGTTTTGCTAATCGAATTATATCGCGAAACCCTAGTTTGGATATTTCTGTGTGAGGGTTCTTTTGTATAAATTTTTTCTTCCCTTCTGCTCCTAAAGCGAGGAATAATCTCGATGTTAGCCGTTTGCCCACTTCGTGATAGAATACATTGTGTCCCACTCTAGGTCCTCTTAGTGTCCGTTCTTCATTTTCTTGAACCACTCTATCTCGAGCCAATCTGTTCCGAGCTTCTCTTTCTGTTGTCGCAATCTCATCCTCGTTTTGTGCTGGTGTTTCAGGAGTTGGTAAAGGTTCTTCTAATACCGGTTTAGGTTCTTGTAACATTATTTCTGGATCCACATTCTCTTTAACTGTAACAGCTAATAGGAACTGGTCAAGCCACGTTTCAAAACTCCAAGGTGGGTCTGAATTTGCGGATGCCCAAAATACTGGGATTCCTAGATCAGTCCTATTATCCTGAGCAGTGAAACCGGATCCTGCTGGCTGCGCCATGTGGTAACTAACAATACCTCTGAGGTTTTATAGTGAAAACTGAAGTGGTTCGAAAGAGTTTAATTAACCATAATAAAACCGTTTCTTTTCTGTTGTTAGTTTGTTACTGACTGTGTTCTTAGCCACAGGCCTGAGAGATTGACTCTCTTGGATTTCTAAAAGGTCACGTATTCTTTGACCTTGGTTTTTATAATAGAATTATATAATTTATAGATAACAATATGTATAGCACTATCAAGGTCAATATGTGATGACTATCTGATTACTGCGATAGCAGTGGCAGATGTAAGTAGCACTATCAAGGCCAATATATATGAGGACTGCATAGTTACTGCAATGGCAGTAGCAGTTGCGGTACCACAAACCTAACTAAAATCTGTGTAAAATTTTTATATAAACTGTAGCAAAAAATGCACTTGAAATTGATTTTGGTGACTATCGAATTGATTAAAATAAGTATGAATTGCAATCGATTGTAACCGATTTGATAGTAAAAAAATCTATTATTTAGTGCATTAGGAAACTAGATTGCTGAATTGTAGATTTTACTGGCGATAATCGATTGCAATCTTAGCTTTATTTATACAGTACATACAAATGGTAAAATCAGTTCGAAAAAATGATTTCCGTTTTTGGCTGAGGTTTTGACTATGATATCTCTATATTTTAAAAAACAGGCAACAATTATTCCAAAACGTGGTTAAATAAAAATGTATGAAGTGTAAATAAAGTTGTTTCAGCTGCTCTTGAGCGAGAAGTGGGTTGTTTGCTAGCCCTCCATATCTCATTTTTTTGTTTTCATGTAGCTTATCGTGGTATTGTGGTTAAATGCTCCATGCTACGATGTAAAGTATGAAAACAAACATGGTCACCTTATTAAATACGGTTAATTTGTTCAATACGCTAAGCTACACTTGTGGACAAAATTAAGCGCAATTCATGATTTTACTCTCTAAAATGCCTGTTTTCAAGGTAGAATTTGGACATCATTTCCTTAGAAGTTCAGTGAAACTTTTGCAAAGACCAGCAGCAAATGATCAAAGCTACCGTCAGTGAGAGTATCAATATTTGGTTTCAATGACTAACTTACCAATGTAATCCGAGTCTGAAAATGCCAGTTTTTCTCATCTCCACTAAATTTTTCATCGTAATGAAATCTTTTTTGAATTAGCGGAGTAAAAATTTGTTCATGCAGCGTGAAACATTCTCAGCGAAAAAATGGAAAAAATCGGTGTGAAATTTTTACTAAACTCGGACGTTTGTTACTTATTCACGCGAAGTAAAAAAGCCTAGTGCAGATGAGGAAAACTGGCATTTTTAGACTCGGATTACATTGGTAGCTCATTGAAACCAAATAGTGATACTTTCACAGATGATAGCTCTGATCATTTGCTCTCGGTCAATGTAAAAAAAATGACTGAATATCGAAGGAAATGTTGTCCGAAATGTACATTAAAAACAGGCGTTTTTTAGGGTAAACTCTTGAATTTGCGCTTAATTTTGTCCACTAGTGTATATTGAAAGGGTTGTTAAAAAGGGGGCCAGCTTCTTTTGAAATATTGCTTTATTTTTATCTAGTGCTAAACGAGCAACTCGTGCGTGGTTTTAATAACTAGTAAGGTTTATGAATACATAATTTAAATATCAAAGTGCTACTTATAAGCAATATAAGTTAACTTTTGAAACTGAAGTGAATTTTAGAATAAATTCTATAAATTTTATTTCGTAAAGTTTTGCTATAAATTTGCAAAAATTCGAGTAAAAGTTGAAAAATTGTTAATGTTTGAGAAATGCAAAAAAAAAGAGTTTTAGGTGTTCTCGAATGAGAAAAGGGTGTGTGTGATTGAGATCCCCCTAATGGACAACTACTTGAGCTCAGCTGTGGAGAGGGAGGTGTTTGTGATCCTCCATTCTCCCTCCAAGGCAGTCCAACTAGGCAAGACCAGCATCACCCGAGTCAACATCATACCAAACGGTGAAACATCAGCACTATTTTACTATTATTACCCTCCCCTCACAGCTTAAAAAGAAAAAAAAATTACAGCCCCACCATATTTGGGTCTTTTCTTAATGGGGCTATGATTTGATGGGAGATTTTAACTGAATTGAGGTCACACCAGACTAAACAATTCTAGCAACGAAGTCCAGCGAGTTCCACTCACAAAATACCTTTGAAATGAAACCATTTTAATTATTACAATTTCTAAACTGCATTCAAAAGCGATAATAACGGACTTATTCAGCAAAATTTTGAACGATTATAGAATTCCAGTGCTCGCTTGAAAAAAAAAAATCTTTCGGTCGCCGGGAGTCGAATCCATGAGAAGGCAGAGGGGGGCTTGCGTTCTAAATTGTTGACCCCCTTCAAATATCCTTCCCCTGTTTGCCAAATTTACTGTCCCTACCATTGAAACCATTAGGAGGAGTCAATGTGGGCGGTAAACAAAGGTCAGCATTCGTTTTTGGATCTCTATAACTATATCCCCCTCGGGTACCTAGTAACGAATACCCCCCCTCCCCCTATAAAGAAATAAATCAACGGTTAAGCATATCAGATGTTTATATTCCTAGTAACGAATCTCCCCCTTTTGCAAAAAGGGGATACAGTTAAAGAGACCCCGGTTTCTCAAACTACCCGCAATGAAGTTTCATGAATAATAATTGATTATAATGGATTTTAATGGTCTGTCACAATGAAATTTTAAAATAATCGATTTTAATAGACTAATAAGCGATTATAGAACAAATAAAGTGGAAATCAATTTAATCGATTATATTAGATTATATTAGATTGTAATAGATTTTCATGAGTAAGAGCCTGGATTTTCCATAACTTTGAAATCAAATGTCCAAAACTTAAACGTTGCATTCGCTAAATTGTGTTTTACATTTGGCTACAGCAAAAAAATGTAATGTATTGTTTTTACTTGTATTTTTCCTACTTGTCTCCCTCTTGTCTTCACTTACCGCCACCTCCCCTCCCAACCATTTACCCTTTATTGCATTTAACATAAAACCATAAAAACACGTACGGGGGAGGGGAGTGGTGTGTGTGGGTGGGGTACGGTAGGTGGGAGGGGGTAGGTGTCGTGGTAGTTAGATGGGGTGCTAGGTGATGGGGGGGGGGGGGGGTGGGCTGAGGGTGGATTTTGCAAATTTTTACTAAATGTGAGGAGGTTTAGAAAACTAGAAGGCTATGAGTAATTCAGAAAAAGCTGCATAGTTTTCAGAAAATTTTTGCCAAAATTTAAGAGATAAGAATCCATTATAATCAATTATAATGGATTTTGAATGGATTATATTTTTTTTTCTGTAAAAATAATGATTTAAAATTGATTATACTTATTTGCGTAATCCCAAAATGTAATTACAATCGATTATTTTTATGAAACCTAACTGCGGATAAGTGAATCTCACTCAACTAAAGCAGCGAGTGTTAAGCTAATGCAATGGTCATTTTTTGTTTATGTTAAATTCAATTTGAATTTTTCAGACTAATACTTTTTAAAAATTTTGATATATGATCGGTTAAAAATGGTGTTTTTTGATCGGCAAAATTGAACTCTATGATCCAATTTTCACTGATTATAACAAATTTTTGAGAATTTCATTATAAAAATTTTTGTGAATCAAATATAGAATGGATCAATATTTATTAAGTTCAAATGCGGGTGCCGCATTATTTGCTTGATAGAAATTCCTTGCAAGATTATAAGAGCAATAGAAAAAAATTGGGTGATATACTAAAATAGGTGGCAATTTTGATAACTAATTGAGTACCGCAAGTATTTTAATTGAGCACTGAAAGGCATAATATATTCATTTGAATTTCAATCAATTGTGCATGCTACTTAGATAGCTTTTCTAAACACGTTACTCTGCCAGATGAAATTTAATTCTACAGTTCCACATTTACACTACTTTTGCCAAAATATTGGCTTTAAAATGAATTATGAAAACTGTTCAAAGTATAAAACAGTTATTTAAATTGGATCTGTCGTCTATTGTTATATACCAGCAAAAAGTAAACAAAAGTCTTTTATGTAAATTAGTTCGTATATTGAGGAGAGGAAGAAGAACCAGCCTTTTATTGCACTAACTTGAAACATTAGGATTATAATTTTTACATAGTTAAAGTGCATGAAATGTGAATTCGATTATTTTTCCAGCAGCAAAATTGTTTTGCTCCAAGTCCTTTGGTCCCAAAGTCTTTCGGATAATTTTTTATTGCTTTTTTTTCAACCGCTTGAATGGTTTATTTATTTTAAAATGTATCCGTTTTTGGACTAGTGATTTTCGTGGACCTTATAGAGTTTTATTAGAAGGATATCGATATTCTAAGCTAAAATTAAAAAGGTCTTACTTACGACATTTTTGGTTTTCCCATTTTAGCCATCGCCGCCATAATAATTACACTGTTGGGGTCTGAGATTTTTTATAATTAAGCATGGAGAGGCAAATAAGAAAAAATTGAAATTTTTCAACGTTTCAAGAGTTTAAGAGTAATGAACGTAGCAAAGACTCTTTTATAGGTCGTGCTGATTTTTTGTTCTTTTTTTCAGGAAAAGTCTTAAAAGTCTCTAAATACTGCAGATGTGCATTCCTACATATTGCTTCATTTATGAATGCAATTAGGTATATATGCACTTTTTGAGTTCAATTGAAAGTGACGTAAATAGCACTCTCCAAATACGAACGCGGAAATGGCGCTAAAAAACAAAGAACAATTCCGGGTTTCGAAAGTGGAAATAAATTTTTAGATTTCCTAGCGAGCTATTCATAAAAGCAAACAAAAGTATTTGCATTTAACTCTTGCACTAACAAGCATGAAACTTTAAACTAGTTACGCATTTCAATTTTAAAAGGATTCTAGATTCAGATACTTAAGCAGTTATTGCTCATTTTTTCTCATAAAAATTTCTTGCAAAACTGAAACGTCAAAAAGAAAACAACTATGAGAAAAAAAAACAAAGTCAATAGTGAGTTGAGATGAAATGCGGTAAACTCTACTGAAAATAGTTTTGAATGTTATACTTCATTTTGTTTGCTGATGAAGTCTTTGTCTTTTTTTGCTGGGTTAATGCGGTTCGAATGCCGAGCTAATCACAAATTCAGTGCTTTAAAATGTTCTCTAAATTCTCAAAATAAGAGTTCGGAAACTTAAAAAAGGTGTGTTAAATGACCCACCATGTGATTAAATAGAAGTAAAGTTTTGCTGGTATATTTTCTTACTTCACTAGTAAAAAAGTTTGGGGTTTTTTTTACAACCGCACTCGCCCTCAAAATAGTTTATGCCCTCAATCCACTAGATATTTTTGTAAAACTTGGAGAAAAAAATTCAGTTTTTGGGCATCGTGCTTTTGAAAAAAAAAAATTTTGAGCGAAGCGACCTTCTGAAATCACATATCTTATTTATTGCCAGTTTGAGAAAAACGAACACCGTCTTTTGTCTTTTTTCGAGTTTCATTTTTGAAGATTGTTCATTGTTCATTACTGAAGATGTGGAAGAACTCTGTTTTTGCGCGAGTCTTAGCCTGTATTTCAATCATAAAACTGACAGCAATGAGGAATGGTCAAAAAATGAACTGGTGTTCTTTTGATAATCAGAAACCAAAAATTATATAATTTATCGAAAAAGTTTTCTGAAGTCTCCAGATTTATCCCTAAAAAGCAAACTTATTTTTCCAAGTTTCTTCAACATATTCAATTTTTCTTCAGTTTTTGTTTCACAATTAAATCTCTTAATTTGTTTCGCGGATCAATATAAATGCTTTCCCCCAGACAGACCAAGTTAAGATCTTCCAACCCAGAAACTAAACGGGTGTTGGTAACTAAATCCGTGCCCACTAAACAATCAAATTATGTGAACATTGTTTTGTGCAAGTAGGTATACCAGTAAAAAGAGAACATGTTGCCCATCAATTATATACTATGTAAATTAACTTATTTGTTAAGTCAAGCATTTATTTGCTGCCTGGTTATTTGTTTTATTCAACTAACTTTTTTAAGAACTATTTGACTACAATCTAATTTGGATGCCTCAAAAGGTCATCACAACATTCAGGTCTGTCTTGTCGATAAGATAAATTTCTTTATCTATTTATCTACTAAGTTAAAATGAAAACTACTGGTGAAATGCATTTCTTTCTGGTCGGGTTAAAAATCAATCACCTTTGAAGATCTTGGATAGACAACGCAATTGATGTGAACCGTAGTTACCTCGCATCTGATGAAGTCCAATAAAAAAAAGAAATGACAAACGTGGAGCTTAGAGCCCTTCAGCTAAATTGCTGGAATGGTTTCGTTTTGCAATCAGGGGAAACATAAAACACAATGTTTCAACGCAGATATTTCTGCGACGAGAGTGCTCGTTATGTATTTTCTACTGGGCAAATTTTTCAACAATTTTTCAACATTTTCTATATTTTGATCTCAGGCAAAAAATACTGTTGAGTGTTAAAGTTTAGAAGTATGTGTCTGCGAAGGAAGCAATGGTGGATGGTTCATCAAGGATCTACCTTTTGGATGGTACTATCGCAAAAACATTCAAATTTTTCTAGTGGTTTGAGTAAATTCTGTAAAGCACGGTTCAATGGAAGTCCGAATCACGTTTTTGTTTCCCTTTACTGAAACAAACTACCGCTGACTAGGGATAGATTGGCTCAGTCAGACAGAAGTTAGGCATATAACTGCAAGATATGGGTACAAATGTATGCCTCTTGATTTTTTTTCGTAGATTTGAATTCTAGTGCCAGAATCATAAGCAGCATTCAACTTTGCATGCAATTTGCAAAATAACTTTTTTGTCAGTTTGTTATTGGTTTTGTTAGTTCTTTTTACAGTTTCTGCTACCCGGGTTGACCATCCTATCGAAAAACTCCCCTATCTTAGCACTTCTTATAAGATTTGTGGGAAACTTCCGGCATCGTACCATTTTTTCATAGGAAAAGTTCTAAGATAGTAACTTTTTTCCCA